AAAAAGGAACTTCAAAAAGTGATTTGAAGAAATTCCAGAGTGGCTTTTTATCTTAACCGATAAAAAAAGTAATGTAATGAAGAAAGAAAAACTATTCCTGAAAATGTATTTTTTTGTAATTTTTTATATTACGTCCGCATAACCGATATCGACGATTTTGGTATCGTTGGATTCCTCTCACTCTATACAATGCAAATATGTAGGTTTTATTGCTCGAAAACCCCCGTTAGCGACAAACTTGGCCCCGATAGCAAGGGAGGGCATGGAACGTTCCAGGGAAAATGCGGGGTTAAATAACACTAATAATATAACGCACAGTGAAACTAACCATGGTTATTTACATGATTTTCCTTTGCAGGGGGCTGTGCACCCTGCGACTCCCCCTGGGGGGGGGGGGGCTACCGCCCCCAACCCCCGCCGAAACAAACCACCACGTATTCCCGGCAGGCTAGAGCGTTACACAATCATCGTCGATGTCGGAGGGTTTTGCGCCTCTTTCGATGTTACACCGATGGCCTCAAGGTCGAGTTTCCCGTCCTCTGGAATAACGACATCCGTATTCCTAACCGAAATAACCGTCGCGTTCAGAAGTGTCATAGCCGCCGCGATGGCCGAGTGTGGAGGGTGCTCGTACTCGGAGACGGATTTCCTGCGCGAAATATCGACCAGCCAGGAGGAAATGTTAGAGATGTCTGTGGCCGCAGGAAAAAGCACTTCGCGGGGTACCTGGCTCGGTGCATGTTCCTCATGCACTACCAGGACCTGAATGTGAGGTTGCACCACTTCCTGTGTGCTGCAGCGTCGCTGTATCCTCCGGCCTAGGACCTCCTGCCGGACGCACCCTGCCTCCTTCACCTTCTGCGGCAAAGGAGCACCCTCCCCACTATTAGCGGCATCTATCAATTAGGTTAGTACCTTAAAAATCCTAGGTTATTGTAAGTTATCGGCTCCGCATCTAGTTCGTGTGCTCTCTATCCTGCCGTAAATACGTGATGGAGGTTTTGTTTCCTCGGCGGGGGTTGGGGCAGCACCCCCCCAGGGGGGTCGCAGAGGGCGCGGCCCCTGCAATGGAAAGTCATGTGAATAACCATGATTATTTTCACTGTGGGGTTATATTATTAGGGTAATTTTATGTATTACGTCCGCCGCTCCGACATCGTCGGCCCCGCTATCGGGGCCAAGTTTGCCGCTAAGTTTCCGAGCAATAAAACTACATATTTGCATTGTATAGAGTGAGAGGAATCCAACGATACCAAAATCGTCGATATCGGTTATGCGGACGTAATATAGAAAATTACCTTTTTTAACTTCAAAACAATACCTGGAGTTAGTCTGCATCAAGAACTTGAGATATTCGAGGATATCACCACATTTCCTGTACGAAAATTGTTCTTAATACACAGTGTAATGTTTATGCAGATGTAGATACGTGAATTATAATTTTGTCCTAATATCCGATATTCTTAATCGAGTCATCTACTTACAGTAAGAAGAAAACGGGCACAGACTAGCCTTAGAAGGAAAATACTGAGAAATATACTGCTATCTGTTTAAATGGCAGTTGACTGCATCATATCGCGATGATAGTGTAATCAACGGCTTATAATTCTATTTTAAGATCATAACCCTCTGTCACGTAAATAAGTATGTATGTAAGTAAATACTCAGGAAGTAAGTTCTTGTTAGTTAACTTTGATTGCAACACTTTCATCTCACATTCCAAATTATGTGTTTGTTTGCGTCAATGTGTGTATGTATGTATGTGTGCGTGTTTAGACAGATACTTAAACTGAAAAAAAAAAAAAACATACACACACGGGCACGTAAATACAAGCATGACTCCTACCTCTCTTCCAGACATTAAATTCCTCTCATACTTTCAGGGGATGACATACCAGAAAGTTTCCCGTGCAGTGATACACATATAAATATATACGCATAGCATTACCTTGGGCTGTGGCTTTGGGGAAACGCGTGCAGTCTTAGGCTCAGTATCTAACTAAGGACTGAAGTCGACCAGTGATAATACACTGCTGCAATTTTTACCAGTCATGTTGATTGGCATTTCTCTTATCGCCTATAAATAAATCTCAAATGCATTTGATTGTTTAATTTGTTTGTGGTAGTGTGCTTTGTAAATTGCATTTGGTATATTAGATATTCATAAGTGACGTTTTCTTATAAAAGTTGTGAATGTAGAGCATCTCTTGGACTCCTGTTAAGCGACAAGTCAAAATAAACACACGCACATGTGTACACCCAACAACAAAAGCGATGTCGCCTCTGCAGATATGGCTTGGAGAGATCTCGCTCTTCTTGCCCTGAGAGGTGGCCCACGTTAAAGAACCTGGACATAGGAAAGGGGGGAGGGGGTGATTTAGATTCGCTAGGCAAAGCAAGGAGTGAGTGTTCGGCTATGTTTCAGTTCCATCTTATCGAGGCTAGTGTCTGTACCCCCACCCCTCTCCCTCTCACTCTCTCCCCCTCCCCCCCCTCTCTCTCTCTCTCTCTCACACACACACACACACACACACACACACACACACACACGCACACGCACACATACACATTGTGAGTAATATTTGTGGGTATGAATAATGTATCGTGTCAAAAAGCGCCTTTTGAGCTACCAAACATTAATAAATGGCTTTGGCCGCAAAATTTCGAGGGTAATGTGTAAAGGTGTAGGTATCGATTCCGTTTTCCTTTTATTTCGTTTGTGTTTCTCCTACGAACCACGACCATGAATCGCAAAGCACGGTTTGGTTGGGGTCAACTTGAGCGTGATGGCTACTTGGCTCTCGCAATCAAATACTTACCGAAAGTATTAATGTCTATTATATCAGCATTAAGTTTGAGATACAAATTGATTTACAGTGCATCGTCAGTCAACTTAATTCATTATATTATTTCCGAAACTGTTAGTGCAATTGAATGGTGTAAAATGAAATGCAGTGAATGTGTTAAGCGGTGTATTAATATAAGGATGGTGGGGTATACAGGATGCAAGTGTAGCGAAACTTATACTATTACCGTAGTATAAAATTATTAATTGACACTCTTTAGACCTGGACAGACAGGGCACTTCCCAGCGAACCCCTTTCCCAGTTCACGCTTGCTCACTCACCCCGCGAAGGGCCGAGTCAAGCTTCACTCTACCCAAGGCTAAGGGGATATTCCCTCAGCCTTGACTGTAGGCCTTTAAATATCTTAATCTAACAAAGAGGTATGGCCAACCTTACAGTGATATTTACACTGCGCATTCTGAGCATTTGCACATATAAACATAATCTACAAAGAAACAGCGACACGATTGAACACTACAGAATACCACACACACATATATATATATATATATATATATATATATATATATATATATATATATATATATATATATATCACTAATCTAAATGTAGTTATTGTTGTAATTATTATTACAAACTGACTAAACAAATTTGTGATGAGTCACAAATTGACAAAAGAAAAGTAATATTGAATTCTGACCATAATAAAGTGAATTCTTGTCCAGAGTATAAACAACAAAGATATGCATATAAAAAAATCGAAATATGTTGGCCTTTACGGTTAATAAAAGGATTTATGATAGAATGCTTCTGCAAGGTAGCCCGTGTGAATATATATTTAAATTCAAGTTAAATATTTTGGGGTCTGTAGAATTACATGTACAAGAAATATCTATAGTTGCGATATCACTGCATGATCTGCATCAACACCCACTGCTATCTTCTGGCAATATAGTAATATACCTTTTACATGAAAAAGGGAGGGGATATACTGTAGCCAAGCCCATTCTATACCTGGGGGGATAGACTTATCTAGCCTAACATATGTGTATATGTATAAACACTATACACATAGGTTTAATTATTATCATTATTAGCCTATAACAACCCCGTGTATACTCTTGGCTGCTTTACCTGGCCTAGAGTAATGTTAATTGATATAGACAATTCACACAAACGAAAGTCGTCAACATTCGCAATAACAACTAGAAAACAGCTTCCTTCCGGAAATGAAAAAGGAGTAATTTCAATTTTGTGTTTAATGCATTATGAATGTACTGATGATTAACCAGTTCTTCTGAGAGACTGTTTAAATGTATTAGCATTTTAAAGAGGATGTATAGATGTGTATATATACTATTCGAAGTCGGATATGTGAGGATATAATAATCTTATTGGAATTGTGCTGTATTATGATTGGTTGTTTCATTCAGATTTTTTAAAGTAAAAAATATGACGAGACTAGATTTGAACATCATAGTATTTTGACCTCAATGACTGGTTGTTTCTTTCATATTTTTTAATAAAAAAATATAAGACTAGATTCGAACATTTTAGTATCTTGACCTCAACCTATTAACGTTCTTTCGGAAATGTAAATGCTCTTAAATGAGCTATCTTCTTACGTTCCCAATTTTCAACATACAGATTATTACTGATTATAAAAAAGTATGAATAATAAAACGAATACTGTATATAATCCAATCAGCGATTATCTATGGAAGACGAACGGGGCTTCTAAATGTAACAGGACAGCCTTACCCAAACCTTGTTAATTATTGTCCCGATGTCGTACTGCCTTTTTGGTCTTATGTCTTATATTTATACCCTTTTCCCTGATTGAAAATGTTAGTAAACATGTTGCATCTTTTGTAGGTTCTGGAATTCAAATGGTTAATCAAATTCTCCTTCCTGGCGGTTTAGAGAACCTATGAACTGTTAATTATAATTATTCAGGTCTTCACTTTGCTTGTTAAATGATGACTACTATCTCACATGGTAAATGATGACTTTATTACGCTGTTAAATTGTTACCTTTCTACTTAATCGGCAAAACTCAGGCACCACCAACCCTGTTCACAACTACGAACACCCAATAATGTAAATCAAATACACTGTTCACAGTGCACTACACGTAGGGAGGTATATATTACTTAAGAATAGTAAAGGGAACAGTGTCCCTCTACTCATTCATTCACACATGACATGGACTGAGCACATGACCTTCTAATGGCTAATGCAGTTATTTTATATTTACAATGTATAGTTGGGCTCTGGATAATGACATTTATGAAGCATTCATTCTATTTTACTGTTAATGATATGTTATCACGAGTTCAACAAGTTTTCATTGTATAGTGAATCAATTCTAGGTATTCTTTAAAAGAAAAAGTTCTTTCACTGTGATTTGACATGACAGTCTACCAAGCGAAAGAGAAAAAGAAACTATGTATATAAGAGTTGCAGTGCAGGACCAGCACCGTACTTAAATGGCAGTGGAAGTTGTTTCTTTTACACAGCTCTGAGGATCCGACGTCCATTTCTTTAATTCTAGAGTGCCTTCAGGGTAACCTTGACTCCACCCTTGACCCTAATGATACCAAAGATTCCAGGCTCCAGCACGATTTCTTCGTGTCCTGGTGCAGGGTGCAGCTCTCCCGCAAGCAACAGTTTCGACAAGACAACCTTGGCTTCCATTAGGGCAAACCTCATGGCTGGAAAATATAAGATTCCATCAAAACATCAAATCTTGCAAATGTATACAAGCTAATCAGATTCTTTCTCTCCCCTCCTTACACAGTTCAAAATCCTAAAGACTCACCAAGGCAGTTCCTGGGTCCTATTCCAAAAGGCATGTGGGCGAAGTTCTTCATGCTGGCCCTGTTCTCGGGCAAAAAGCGCTCCGGACGAAACTCATTTGGCTCGGGCCAGTACTTAGGGTCGTGGTGGATACTCCAGACAGGGCACTGTATTTTGTCACCAGCCTTGATCGTCAGGTCAGTGCCAGGAAGCCTGCGGTGCCAAGGTATTAGTAAGCGTGGGAAAATAAACGTTAGAGATAACCTAACAAGAGATCATTGCCATTGCAATAACTAACGGCATTCCCAGACTATCAGCCACCCACAAGCTATTTTCGCATTTTCTGGGAACTATTACTCCACTATCTGCTCACCCATATACATATGAAAGCAATATAATTGTTATTCATCAAACCATTTCGACACTACTCATTCGAAGCTAGCCCAATTTTGAAAAATGGTACATGATATGAAAATGAGAATATGATTCATAAGGAAATGTTGGCATTTTAGTTTTGAGCATCTGAGTTACTTTCCAGCAGTACCAAAAACATCCATGGAATACCTAATTAGCTATAATTATTGCATGACAGAAATTTCATTGCCCTACAATGGCAACGTTAACTTGTATTTCCTAGTTGTGGAATTCATGGATTTTAGCATTGCTACTTACCGATAGTCACGTGTGCATATTCGTTCTAGAAATGGTGCGGGAGGAAACAGGCGTAGTGTTTCTGTTGAATAAATGTATATGTATATATCTATATCTATACGTATATATACATATATATAAGTATATCTATACATCTATATAGAGAGACAGAGACAGGGAGACCAGAGCAGGGGCAGAGACACACACACACATGTAGTTACACAGAAAAATATTGTTAGAAATCATGCAAGAAATGAAACTTTTGAAATAAAGTTGTTAACGAAACAAAACTGTTTGTATCCTGATTTTCCAACTACTTTTGGGCGTGTGTGGCTAATCTGAATATTGCAAGGCATATTCCATCCCTTTCGGAAATAAAATCATCTCGCAGTGAATCCATATAAATTCTGGAACTATTCGAGACATGAATCAGAACAAGACCAATTAAAAACCTAAAATACCAACGCTTCTGTAACATAAGGTTTTATTTGTTACTGAATGTTTCAACACCTAACGATGATTTTCTGTGTAGCTGTACATGTGCACATGAAAAACAGAAAATGTGGAGACAATTGAATGTTACTGAATGATTTCATCACTGGTTATTATTCATACTATGTGACGATTATTATTCCTTTTATTCCTTAATATTTTTCAAATATTCATCAATTAATAACAGTACACCAGTTACGGGCGCATTCCAAAAACCAATTTTATTTCACAAGTATAATTATTCTCGCATTTACTTCAAACCAACCATTTAAGATATTTCAGCATATTGTAAAAGCAAAGTAAAAAAGGAAAAGTTAAGATTCGTGTGCCCATGTGCTTATCTGACAAAAATAGAGTATTCAAAACTCGGTAATAAACAAATGGAAAAATTGTTTGTTTTTTTCTCGCTATAACTATGATTACTGTGAATTGTCGCATTTCAGAGACCTAAATGCTTTTCATTGGCAACTTATTATTGTCACTGTAACAGAAAAATGCAGAATTCAGTTGAATGTTGGAACTTACCCATCAAACATGCATCGAGGTATTTAGCTTCCATGACCCCTTGGTAAGTAATATCACCTTCTTCATGAACCAAATCTTGGATCTCTTGACGGAGTTTTTCTTGTGCACTTGGATTCTTAGCCAACTGAAAGGCAGCAAAGCCTAGAGTAGTAGCTGTGGTTTCATAGCCAGCAATGAGGAACAACATGCACTGGGAGGCGATGGTGGTGTCATCCAGCACTGTTTGGGAGATCCAGACCAGATTACTAATGTGAATAACGTGTAATTTCTGAAGATGGTCTATTTCGGTTGATTATTCGTCTGAACAGTAACTTGTGAAGATTTCGAAACGCAAAGCATTATTTTCATTTATTATTGTGGCTGTTTTCCTTTCACTAATGCCGATATTATGGTGAAATAACATCTTGCAATATTTGGTGTGAGAATAGAAAGTTATGAACCCAGTACTTACGATATTTTGACTTGGTAGTACTATCAACTCCAGTTTCCTTCACTTCCTTGGCGGCGCCATCAGGATTGCGAGCTTCCAAGAGTAAGTCCAGGAAATCCCCACGTCTTTCTCCTTTCATTCTTTCCTTTATTGTGTGTCTTACAACTTCCTCCAGGAAATCAGCTTCAGGATGAGTGAACCGGAGGTTGAGCAACTTTGCTAGGCTAGGTAACGTATTCATAAATAAGAATTTTAGAATATCGAAAGGAGTTGCTTCGAAAATTTTGTCAGCTCTTTTGGGGAATTCGGCGTCTTCGTCTACAAGTGAATTGCACTCGATGCCAAAGGCGCAAGAGGCAATAGTGTCTATGGTAAAGCGACCAAAATTGTATTTCATATCAACATAGGGTTTCCCTCGCGAGTCATTGAGAGAGAAAGCGACGAAGGCGTCGGCCTTTTCACACACAAGAGGAAACATTCCCTTCATTTTGCCCGAAGAGAAGGTCGGACTCATGATGGCTCTCAGCTGTTTCCATTCATCTCCTTTCTTTAACGACAACATTTGAGCCGTCATCTTGTCTTTTTCGTGTGGCAATGCTAAAGTCATTCTGTCGACGAAGTGGTCAAAGTCCTTCACGAGGATGTGTTTGAGGAGGTCGGGATCCCCCACCAGCAGGACCGGCGTAAAGAATTCATACAGTCCACAAAACTTCGATCCGCCATATTTGTGATAAGCCTGGAAGGAGATTTAGACAAAATATTCCCGTTAATGAACTAGAGTATATATATATATATATATATATATATATATATATATATATATATATATATATATATATATATATATCCGTGTCTTATACAGTGCAGATACATTCATGTTTTGATACTTAGAAAAAACATTATTGTAATTATGAAGACTGTTTTAAGTGAATAACCTTTTTCTATGTCTGTCCTCACCCTTCAAACATTTAACTGACGATGCTGTAGCGATTTTTAACGTTCTTAATTTATCCCATTTCGCTACTTGATTTGTCAATGGCATAATTAAAATTATAAATGAACACCATTCGATTTTATATGACATCAAAAGCTATTAAATACGTGTTTAAAGGTAGAGTAATCAAAAACTCACAATACAGTCCGTACACACACACACACACACACATATATATATATATATATATATATATATATATATATATATATATATATATATATATAGTTCAGGATCTGGGACGTGGCCAAACATTTGGGGGCATCTTTTAGGTTTTATGAAAAGAATATACATGATTGAACAAAAATGTTTGCTTAGTTGAACCTCGGCAAATATCGCCTAAATAAAAGTCCACTTCTTAAATGTTAGTTATTGCTATCAATGAATTAATGAGAACCCATCTCTTAGGCAATCATCCATCAGGCACCTTAGTAGCCATTCAGGTCACTTATTGTTGTTGAAAGTCATGTACAGAATTTATCTTACTCATTTATATATTCTAGTAATGAACCGTATTCATGTTGACAAATGTAGAAAGGTATGAATGAGAATGAATATCTCCACAATCACAATTTGACCGGTTTCGAATATATCTTCGTCAGAAATACATGTATTTCTGACAATGTATTAGAAACCGGTCAAATGTATCTTTAGTATTGTAAAGATATTCATTCTCATTAATACCTTTCAACATATTCTAGTAAATCTCCCATCCATCAAGGGTCCGGGGGAGGGGCGGTCCCCCCCCCCCTCTGCCATTGGAAAAATAAGGACCAATAGCATTCAGATGCTAAATTCTTGTTTTCTTTCCTATAAATAAATTCAGCAGGTCTATTTCTAAATATTCCAATGTTTTTCCCTGCTCTTCCTAAAATCCCGCGACACACTTCTGATGAACATAAGAAGGCAAATAAAGACAAACAGCCATTACCACTGAATCATACTTCCATTTCCCTTCCTTCGAGAGCGCTTGATGCATGTGACCAAGGATAGGGACGTACGGCGGCGTCGGCACACCCCTCGAGGCCCAGTAGCTGTGGCGCCATTTCGAGTACGCCCACAGCGCAGCCACCGCCACGCACAGCAGCGCTAGCGTCACGAGACTCATGCTCTGTGTTGGTGCTTCTGCTTTTCAGCCATGAAAAGAAAATCAGTAGAATTTTGTTGTTATTCTTGTATGCTTCTTTGTATTAACTTCATGTGATGAAGGGAGGTCATTATGGCGCTCCTCTCAATCTCTCTCTCTCTCTCTCTCTCTCTCTCTCTCTCTCTCTCTCTCTCTCTCTCTCTCTCTCTCTCTCTCTCTCTCTCTCTCTCACACACACACACACACATATATAAATACATGTGTGTGTGTGGTATTTTTGTGTGTGAAAAAGTAATAACAAATTTCCTGATTGATGAATATGCCATCTTAGGAACATTTAGGTTAGACGAAACTTTTTATGGAACAAAACTGATGGTGTTTTTTCGGAGAATGAGATATGCTTAGGCTATTTTTCCCACTGTAAATTAAGATGAAAACTATCAGATTCATAAAAGACACAGAAAAAAACTCGATCAAAGGAACTTCAAAAAGTGATTGGAAGAAATTCCAGAGTGGCTTTTTATCTTAACCGATTAAAAAGTAATGTAATGAAGAAAGGAAA